ATCATGGCACACATTGCACACATGCACATTAACACATCAATGTAAGCAAGAAAACAATCAAAGTGTAATTCAATGCTACCTTTTGGCACTTGGTTCTTGATTTCCTTTAAGTTCAAGATGTTTTCTTGAGGATTTGGCAAGGTACCTATCAAACCAACACCAATGCTAATCATTCAACAATTATTCAAACACATTCCCTATTACTTAAACATTAAACCCTTTTTCTTTGGATTTTTTGGCCTAATTGTTTTCCTTTTGATTCAAGAAACCTCCTTGGCCATTCCTACATGGTTTTTCATGTAGAATTCAAATATCAAATCAAATTTTACAAATCTAATCCCTTTCTTAAGTTCTGGTCAAAACAGAAACGAATTTCATAAGGTAGATGTCAAAATTTCCAACTTTGATTTTTAATGCTTCCAAATTCAATTCCTCCCCATATGCCTACACAAAAGTACCCAAGGAACTCAATGGAAGCATCAAAATCCAATCATAAGTCCATATATTCAAGATGGTTGAACACTTCCTCTTAGGTTCATAAATTTCCACATTTGATTCCAATGGATTTGAACATACTTCCTTAGCATAGTCCTACATAAAATCACATTTTAAATCTATTGGAACCATTAAAACACATGGAATCCAATCCTATTCTTGAGTTCTTGGTTGGGCCGAAACATTTTTGTTGCACCCTAAGAGGTTTTATTTCCATAATCCATTCCAAAACAGCACCAAACACAATAACACAAGCTCATAATTCAAGTTACTATCCACTCCTAGGACTTTCAGCAAAACAGAACTAGAACAGCACCTCTTCCTCAATTTTGTCACGGTTTGGCCATTGAAAAAGCATCAAATTAAAGCCTAACCATACCTTAAGGAGTCTTGGATTAAATCTTGATGATTAACCTTGGATTGGAAGTGATTTGAAGAGTGTTTGGAAGCCAAGAAGAAAATTGTGCAGAACCTCCCCTCTATTGTCCCAATTCTGTTCGAATTTTGAGTGCATTGTGGGGGTATTTATAGACCTCATTTGCTGCCCAAAAACCTGCCCTTGGGCAGCTATTTATGCCCCAAATTAAGTGCAAAAGTCGGCCAAAATGAAGAATAAATCCTAGCCACACATGCTTTGACTCACTTTCTAATAGAGTTGATCCAATAGTTGAAAATTTGCCCAGCACACAAGCCACCTGTTATGGTCAAGATGAGCACAAATTTGGGCCTTGTTGGATGATAAATAAATGGTAAAAACTGATTAGGAAGTAATGGAATTGGTTAGGGTAATTTTAAAAATTATTTGGTCCCATAATACCCAATTTCTTGCCCCCTATTAGGGAAAAATAGCTAAGGGCTTCCAAAATTCCATTTATTTTTATGATAAATCCACATTTATTCCAAAAGTGTGATCTGGAAGTTTTGGGAATTTTTCAAGACCTCTAGATATTTATTTCACATTTTCTCCGAAATCGGGTCTATACCGATAGGAATTCAGAAATAAATTCCCCATAAATTATTTCCTGCATTTTCGATGCTTGGAAACAATTTTATAAATTCATATATATTCCTAGGGAGTGTATCCATATTTTTAATTTAATTTTTGGAGTCCTTAGGTAATTAAAATAATTATATCACTTTAATTCCCCTTTATTTTTCCCTATTTTCCCAAAAATAATTTTTTTTGGGAATTTTCACCAAAATTTATTTTGGGCTATTCTCACTCCCAAAACATCATAGATGACTCAAAAACCCCTAATTCCATCTTTTTCTATTTTTAGGGAAATTTTGAGAACTTTTCTCAAAATTACCGTTTTGCCCCTAGGGACCCGATAAAATCGGTTTCATCCCATTTTGGGTTTTCATGCTTTACTCATACCTTATGCTTATCAATCATATCTCATTTTGCACATTCCCATTACTAGGGTTCTAAATTTTGGGATGTTACACTTGTTGTCTTCTCTGCTTGGTGCTTTACTGTCTACAATCTCTTTCATTTTCCCTCCTTGGTCCTCAATCAGTGAATCATTAGCCTCTACTCTTTCCTTGTCTGATTATTTTAGTGGGGTTTCTATCTAAAACTTGATCTGCATCATTTAATAGATTTTTGTGTAACATTTGAGGTCTAAATATGAATGCCTCTAGAACGAGATCGTATTATTCGAAGAATCTTTAATCCTCAATTTTAATAGAGTCATTGATAGTGCTAGAGATTTTGTTAGGTATTTGGGTTTATATACTACTTACCTTTGCTGCATAAAAGTTGTGTTCAGGTTGGAGCTTAATCTTAGTATTTTTTTTTACATGTAAAGTTATCGATTTAAATCCCTCCCTGTATTCAGAGTAGGCTTGGTTAAGAGATACTCTGTTGCAAACACAAAAGCTAAGCGAGCTTTGATTGCTCATTGGTAGGGGATAGTAAAGAACCTTGGGAACTTTTATAATACTTTAAAAGCAAATCATGATATTAGAACCTCTTTTAACATCCTCGTCCTTATTGCAGCAATGGATTAGTTTTGCTTGCAAAATTTCTAGTTTCTTGCATAAATCTAAGTGAATTTTTCACACTAAATACATGACTATGATGAATCCATAGATGAATTCATGTTTCATGCATTTAGTTTAGAGGTATATGTAATTCTCATGGCAAGTATGTATATATTTTACTCTTGTATTTCTTATCTTTCCTTTTAGTCAGCTTAGTTTGACTGAAAATACATTTGCTCTGATTTTTTTATGCCTTGTGCTTCCTTTTGACAAGTTCCTCCATTTTCAGTTCAGAAGGTATTCACTCAAATATTTTCTTTATCAACGTCCACCTACTCAACAAATTAGTTTATTGACCTTGCATTGTTTATTGTATGGGTTATTGAAATTTTCATATATTCAGGTTAGTGCTTTGCATTTTTTTTTTTTTTTGCCTTCATGTGTAAGAGTGATGATAACCTTTGAGGCTACCTGCAAATGATTAATTTTGTTCCATATGATATGCACATCAACAAATGATTTTCTTTGAAATGATAGATTAATTTGCAAAGTATGTTGATCAAACTACTATATTAGTTTGTGTTTAATATTTGTGTTTGGTTTTAGCTATTTGCTGTAGGAAATGTAAGATATGGCCCTTACTTTGTTATGTATTTTCACAAAAATGATTCTTTTGCTAACATTCTTTATCTATTATAGATGACAACTAATGGAAATATAGAGCTAGAAAACTCACTTTGGCCAAAGAATGTTATTAAGTAGTGCATTGATATTATGATTGAAGAGGTAACCAAAGGAAACATGAACAATGGTGTGTTTTCATCTAAAGTTTGGAAAAACATCTTAGAAAAGTTGAATGCAAACTACCAACACTCTTTTAGTTTCAGCCAAATCAAGCAAAAGTTTAATAAATTGTGTGCAAAGCATAGAGAATTTTCTTAATTGTTACAACACACTAGATTTAGTTGGAATGCTGAAACAAACGCATTTACTGCTATTACAGATTGAAATGTAATTATAGAGGAGGGTTGGAAGAACTATATTGCGGTATGTAATTATATTTGGTAAGTGTGTATTGTTTACCAAGCCAAATGTCTTCATTTTCACTAAAATTGAAATGTTTACTTTGTAGGTACATCTTGAGGCTAAACAATTTAAGAAGCATGGACTAGAGCATTACAGATTGTTGGGCATACTTTTTAACAAAAGCACTGCGATAGGTGTACTTTATTATGCATCTACACAAGATCCACCAAATTTCGATGATGAGGTTCAACTTGAAAATGAGCATCCTCACTCTAGAGTCCATGTAAACCTTGATAAGGATGAAGATGACGTTGCCCCTAACATAGTTGAGTGTGTTACACATAGTATAAAATGAAGTATTGAATTCTCTGATAGAAAGAAAAAGAAAGAACCTAGGTCTATGCAAATAGGAGAAGTAATTCGAGCATGGGTTGAGGCATCTAAAGCTAGGGGTGAAGCTCAACTTGCTAAGGCTGAGAGGTGGAGGTTAAGGAGTCAAGCTAGTGTTGGAACCCCATCATCTATTAGTTGTTCTGTTGTTGATTGTGTTGTTGTGCTTAATGAGATGGATCTTCATAATGATATTTATGTCAAGGCAATGAAACAATTTACCCTCTCAGTTAACAGGGAGTTGTTTATAGTTGTGCTATGGAGAGGAAGAAGGCATGGTTGGAAAGCTTATAGAGATATACTACTTGTAGTTTTATATATGGTGATGAATTATGTTTAGTGATAATTTTATGTTAATGTGAACTATTTTAGGGAGAGTTTTATTGTTAGTTTATATGAACTATGTGTATTTGACGATTTGATATTAATTTATGCCTTTTGTTTTATTATCTTACAATAGTAGTTTGTATAATTTTCAATCATATGCCTAATTCGTTCTTTGTATTTTACAATTGATTGATTTTATATAGGCCATGATTATAGATTGATTTTATGCACAGTGGATGTATATACTTTTTCTTAATTATAATAGATATTTTGTTTTGTTAATAGTAGACAATTTTGTGTTGTTTATTTGTCATTCTATTTGATTTTTATTAAATAAGTTTTTTTACCAGCTTTATAAAGTTAGTTTATATTATAATAAGTTATTAAGTGATTAATTTTACACTTTTTAGGTTGATTTTAAGAATAATTTTTAAAATTAATCATCCAAGCAAATTTTTATGTTTTATTGTTTTTAAAAATAATTTTTAGAAACAATCAACCAAACATTTTTTTTTTGTTAAAATTTGTTTTCGAAAACAGTTTTTTAAAATTGTTTTGAAAATAAAAACACAAAAAACATATCCAAGCAGGCCCACAGTTATTTTTCACTTATTTTCTTTGAAGTACTTGACGCAATAATTTCATATTTTATAGTTCACCGAAGAAAATAGTATTGAGAAAACAGAAACGTAACTGACAGGATACAAAATTTAACAAGGAATTAAACAGTGAGAAAAACACTAAACAAATATAAGAACACATGAAAATGAATAAAATCAGTAAGCATTGACAGAATTACAGTTTGTTCTGATTTGTCCATCATCATCATCAGTAAGCACACCAACATTGCCAAGCTTTGCCATGGAGACAGCAAACTGGTGGTTAAAAGGCGACGGGTCTGTGCCGACCAAAGCCGAAACTAAAGGTGAGGTTCTTGAATCAGCGTGCAACATTTGATCTGAGGACAAGAGTGCCATGTTCTTCTTGAGATTAAGGTAGTAGACAGGGTCGAATGTTGTTGGTGTGGTAGCATCAAGATGAACATATTCTGATGCCCATCTGCACTTTCTTTGTAAGAAGTCAACGTACTTTGGATCCATGGATGGGTCTGCTTTTCCAGTTCCCTTGTAGTTGAAAATCCTATCTTGTATGGAGCCACAAGATGCCCTCCCAACGGTATGAGCTCCTGATGAGCACAAAAAGCCACATGGTCAACGTCAATGAGAAGTTATAGAGTTCTTTTTTTTGAAAAAATACATATGCTTAATGCTAATCCGATCCAAATTTCTCATTAGTTATGTGAAAATTACACAATTTTCTTTTCATAAAATAATGCTTGAATCGAACAAACATCTATCAAAATATACACAAAATTTTCTAAAAGAAAAATGAATGTGCATATGTAATTTCAAAAATTCAAGGTGGCCTAATGTCTTTATTATTATTATTATTATTATTGATATATTTTTTCTTCTTTTAAATTGAAGGAAGTTTGTATAAGGTTTGTGTAATTTGGTAAAACAAAAGGGAGGGGTCTGGGTAATTCATCAAACAGTGTCTTTCCAATTTAAAGCATCAGATATAATTTATCTATGTAGTTTATATGACATTTTGTATACAAAAATTTTAAAATATGCTCCTTCGATCCTTAATATAAGACCCAATTAGTGAGTTGGTTTTGGTCCTAAATATAAGACCCATTTCTCATATTTATCAATTTTTTCTAAATTACCCCTATAGATATTCTCTCAACTATAATCAAGTAGAAGAGAGAGAGGGAGTATTAAGAAAGATGATTATGGTGTTTTAGGAAAAATGTGTCACTTTTCTTATAAGTAACTAATTTACCTAACTTCCTTAATCTAATCAAATTAGTTAAATGGATCTTATATTAAGGACCAGAGGAGTATTACATTTTGCTTACCACCTAAAGTTGACCGAAATTTGATTATGTTTAGATCATCAATACATTTCGAACCAGTATTTTATTTTTCTAATTAATTTAGTCTTGAAAAAAAATTGACATTGACTCGTAATTATAGCCATAGACTACTATAAGACCAAACCCGCAACACTAAAATGCACATGGAAAAAATTTTATATCTTATGAAACATATTTATAGGCTAATTTGCAAATGCTGCATGTACAAAAGCTTTGTTTTATTTTTCTAAATTGGTTACCTGAGAGAACGACCAAGTCAAGCACGTTCAAACCCTTAGATTGGAACAATTCAAGCAAAGAAGTAGTGTCTTCACGACCCATCGGTACCGTCTCAGCCTCCTCGGCGATTGAAATCCGTCCATCTTTCCGGCCATAGGGCAGCACCCAATACGGGCCACCCAAAGCTACGGTGGCGTCTCTTGTTGCAGCGGTCAAAATGTCAGCACACGACACCGTTTTGGGACATTTCTTCTCCAGCTCCGCCTTGATGTCATCTATCACTTCAAAACCTCTCAATGTCTTGCTCGCATTTGCTCTCCTTTCACTCGTTTCATGGTTTAAGAGAATAGAGGCATCACATCCCTGTACGTTCATATATATATATATATATATATATATATATAAATTTAGAAATGATCATTATGAAACTTGAATAAAACTGTACAAAACAAACATTTTAATAAAAGTCTATCTCCTATCTGATAATTTTTTAAGGGAAAGCAATTTCACTGTTTTGTTGAGGAATAATACTATGATTCGAAATACCAACGTAATTAAATATTTAATTTTAGAAAATATTGTGTAATTTTCAAATAGAAATTGAAGATTTTCGTAATTCAACCAAACTAAAATATGTCAAAAGAAATGGACAAAATTAAAAAGAAATTTGTGCAAACTTTTTTTTTTTTTGGGGCCGTATACCAACAAGAGAGATTTATCTCACTCAAAATATAGAGGCGGCAAAAGATAAATTAGGTTTGCTTCATATAAAAAGAAAAATAGTCAAACTAATAACTGCTTATTTAATGAAATCTAGTGTACACCAACCAGATTGTTGGTGTTCACTTTTTTTAATCTTTAAAAAATGTATGTATAATAGGTGTTCAAAAAAGAGGGAAGATAACAATAATTTCATAATAGCTCTAATTTAATAAAAAATTTATTTTGTATTCATGAAAATAAACATTAAGAACTAGATGTAAATTCAGAACCATTATGTGAAGATTATGAAATAGCGGGATGAGTAACAAAAAATTACAATCTATATAATTAAACGATTTCAGATGAATGACTCGAAAATATGAAACATTTTATATTCATGTAAGTGGATAATTTATATAAATTCCTTAGACCCAAAAAAAAACTAACATTAAATTTGTGAAAATCATAATGTAAACAGAGTTATTAATAGATACATAGCATGTGATCCAATAAGGGGACGAAGTAATTTTAGTCTTACCCTCACAAAGCAATCATGGAAATGCAACCTCATGAGACTGGCGCCAAGTGTCCGATCCTTCTTAACCCATTCATTCACTTTCCGATGCACAATGGATTCAAACTCTGCACAAGTCTTGCGATAGTGACCAAAGGATAGGAGATTATCCAGAGTGATTTCATCCAAGTTCGGTGCCTCCAGGGTGAAATCATCATCATCACCACCATCACCATTATCGCCGCCACCTTCAGGCCATGAATTGTATTCCTTATCGCTGTCACCTTCTGACGGCGGTGAACTATATTTCTTATCTTCATCACCACCACTGCTATGAGCATAGTTATTAGCCGAGTTTGCCGATGAAGCTAAAACGCAGTAAAAGGCCAAAAGAAGAAGCAAGAAGAAGCAGGTGAAAGAAGATGACATGGTGATATTAAACTCACCGTCGTCACACCAAATAGATTGATCGATAGAGAAGATATGGACTGGGCACTTGTTGTCCGTAAGACATGTATGTATATATGTGTGTGTATATATATAGTGTTAGATTATTGTTGTTCTTTTTAATATGTAGCAAAACGGAAGACTTTGAGATATTGTGATTATTTTATTGGGACTGTGCAGAAGCAACGTAACGACGTGCGACGCACATAATAACTCGGGCAATATATCATGCTAGCATGTTCGCAAATTCAGATCAATTTATATCTCTCTCTCTCTCTCTCTCTATAAATATATATATATATATATATTTATATATGTATGTATTATTGTGGGTAATTTATTAAGAGATGCATACTTATAGGTTTGCATGACTGTTCTTTGTTTATTCTCTTTCGCTTTCACGGGTTCTTGTTTAGAAACTTATTTTCATGTTTCTCAAAGGAAGGAACGAATGATACCCAATAATATGTGTGTGTGTAGAGTAGTGAATATGTAATATAATGATTAGTAAATTATGCTAATATGTACCTCTTTAGTGCTAAATTGAAGAATTAGGCCAAAAATTTTATTTTGATCTTAAATAAAAGATCTCAATCAATTTTGTCTTTCAAATTTATAATTTTTTTAACTCAAAGTATTGACTAAATATAGTAAAGGCTTTTTATTAAGGGGTAAATATAATGGAATGTTCTAGGACCACATTTGTTAGGAAAAAATAGTTTAATTAGTTTTCTTAATATCCATAGATTAGTTACTTAAATTTTAATATTTGGAGGGAGTATTATTTTTCCAGTTCTATTAAAATATGATAGTCTTTGGGAGTATTATTTTTCCAGTTCTACTAAAATATGATAGTCTTTCTTTTTTTTACTTTTAATTTTTATGTCTACAAAAAGCAAATAAAAAAGATGATGAGCTGCACAAACTTGTGTTAAATTTACCTTAAATAATTGCTAATACTTTTTATTTTATTTTTAAGACTTAAACTAACTCATCCTGAAGACCAAAAAAGGAGCACAAAAATTCATACGCAAACACCATGGGCTATGTCACTGTGTGGCACTAATTTGTTCTTCTTCTTCTTTGACAGCTTATAGGTATTTCTCACTAGAATAGCTGGCGCAACATCTTGCCTAGTTATTCTGAGGCACCATTTAGATATTAAATATGGACACGTTTACTCACGGGGATTTCAATTTTGATTGGGATGGGTTCCAATTGATCATGATTTTCAGCAGGCCAAAAATAGTTTAAATTGTGCGTTTTTATTTACCTCGAATGTAATGTTTTTATGCCAAGTACATATATTCTCTTCTTGAAAGCAATACTATTTGATGTATTATGGACACCAAGAGAGGTTGAAGCAATGAGTGAGAAGCCCAACAATAATTTGGTGCGTGAGGAAAATGGAGGAAACGAAATTTTTTTTGATAAGTTTAATTTTAAAAAATTAAGAAGTGAGATTAAAAAATTTTAAATAGTTTTTTCTTACTTTTTTATCTTGCATATTTTCTTCATCAAAATTTTATAATCCTACTTTAACAATTTTTTTTTAAATCAAGCTCATTAAAATTTTTTCTCTCTTCCAATTTCCTCATACCAAACATAGGGCAAGGAAAGAATAATAGTTCAAAAGTTAGTAACTGCTGAATTAATATTACCTCAATCATGATTAAAAATATATAATTTAATTACAATAACAAAAAAAAATTCATATATAATTTTGAAAAGAATAATATCTAAATTAAAACAGACATAATTTATTATAGTGAAAAGAACATTTGTGTATAAATTGTATATAATTTAACAAAACAAAGTTACTAAAAAGGATAAAATACTATATTTATTTAAACTCAAAATAATGTTATCAAAAGATGGAGTCATCAATTCACTGAACTAATCAACTGATCGGAATTGGGTTTTGATGCCATGAGCCACTGCATAGGAAGAGTACTCAAAACAGTTCTAGCGTTTTAGCCTTTCACTTCATTCTCTGCCATATTCCAGTTTTCGAAACCTTGTAATTATTACTTTTTTTTTTTTAACCAGCCTTGTAATCATTACTTTCAGTCAATTAATATTGTTTTCCACTTGATAAAATGTTTCAATTTGAATCTTTAGTTTGCAGTTCAATTTTAATAAGAAAAATGGTAACAAAAAAAAAAAGAGTGAAATGGAAAAATTACGTACAGAAACCTATTCATAAAAATTATTATCAAAACTCATACTATTGTTGTTAAAACCCATAAGAATGTTATCATGGGGTCCTATTTATAATTTTTTTATTTTGTCGGTCTTTTTTTGTCACTTTTTCATTTTTATCTGCCGTGGCAACAAAAAATTAACAACTTGAAAACTTCACAAATGTTGCATCAAGTTTTTAACTGTAACATAATCAAGGGAAAATCTCAAAAAAGATATTTAAAATGTATTAAAAAAAAATTACAGAGCTGAATTTGCATAATATCATATTAGGATGGGTGGACCAATTTGAAATATTAAAATATTATAAGAGACGCTATTGCCCTTAAAATATGAAAGTGAATTATAACAATTTTTCAGGCATTACTTAAAGCAAATAAGATATTAACAAAATGAGTAGAATATTTTGATTACCCTTCTAATTTGCATCAATTACATAAATCTTCATTTTATTTTAAAAACATACAGTTTAGTCTAATCAATTAATACTGTTAGGAATATTTTAAAAGATTCTAAAAAAATTATTTTTCACTAAAATTTATATTAAAATAAATTTTATTTATTATTTTACCCCTCATTCTAATAAATCACTAAATTATATTTTATAGTTACACAAATTTTATTTAGTTAACGTAAACATAAAAGACTTGACTTGATTAAAAATTTGACCAATCATCTCAATAAATATATATATGCACACACTTGACTAAATACGTTTATAAATTCTTGTGAAAAAAATATGTTTAAAGTTTTTGAGTTATAATTTTAAAGAATTTATAAAATATTTTGAACTCTAAACAAAAACTATGTATTCAAAATATGTTTTTATAATTTAAAAAATTAATAAAATAAATAATTTTTAATGAATGTGATAAAAATTTAAACTTATAAAATTTTATGATTTAAATCAAAATTAATAAATTTTATAAAATATTATAAATTTAAAAATATAGAGTATAATTATTTTTTAATTTTATAAAAAATATTTATACAAAATATAAATGTCTAAATAATTGTTATGTTAAAAATGGGTATTTTGGTTAAAAAAAACATTAAAGTCAAACTTAGTGGTCAATTAATGATTTAGGTGGATAGAAATAAAATCTTAAATATAGAAGAGAGGTTTGTATAACATACATTTTAATTTTAAGGAAGATTTATATACGTTTTCAAAATAGAGGGAATATTTCTGTAATTGAGATAAAATAGGACGTGGCCGGTGTATTTTATTCTAACAAAAATTATTCCTCAATAACAACTTGTATTGATAGTTCACACTAGAATAAAATTAAGGTCCTAAAACTTGAAAATGGATTATAATAAACTATTAATAAAAGTTAATTTTTAGCTCACAATTGGGTAAATTAAATTCTTAAAATATGAAAGTGATTGACAATAATTTTTCAGGTATTAACAAAAATTGATTTCTTCATAACAATTTTTTATTAACAGTTCACATTTACGTAAAATTAAAATTCTAAAACTTGAAAGTAGATAATAATAAGCTATTAACAAACTTAATTTCTCAATAACAACTTTTATTAACAGTTCACACCTGCTAAAATTAAAGTCTTAAAAATTGAAAGTAATCGACAACAATTTTTCGGGTATTACTTAAAACGAATAAGTTATTAACAAAATTTGACTTCTCCATAACAACTTTTATTAGGTAAAATTTAAAGTTTTAAAACTTGAAAATGGATGACAACAGTTCTTCAAGTATTGCTTAAAACAATTAAGCTATTAATAAAAATTAATCTCTCAATAACAACTCTATTTGCACTGTATAATTTTTTTTCATATAACTCAGGAATAGTGGCATCTTTTAACATTTTAATATTTCAAATTGGTCCACCCATCTTGATATGGTATTATGCAAATTCAGCATCCTGATTTGTTTCTTATACATTTTAAAAATCTTTTTATGGGGAAGCCTTAGATTAGAATCTACAAGCTGTTGGTTGAGGTAATAAGCGACCTCATTTCTGTAAGGAGAAAAACACATATTCAAATCCTAAAAAACACGCTTGTTAGAGGGAAAAAAAGGAGCAAAAATCCTTTGCATTCTAAAACTCAAAAAAGGAAACCTTGATAAAAAAAAAATATTTGTATTACCGGATTTGATTGCCACCATTTATTAAGATACGTTGTTTTCTTTTGTTGCTTTCAATTTTTTAGTTGTACAACACTGATTTTGTGCTGTGTGATCTATACTCATTCCATGTTTAGTAGGAACATTAACGGTTGCGTTAATTTTTACGATTTTCATCCAATTGTTTCTTTTGAAAAAAAAATCATGATTTTAATGGTATAAATAGGTAAAGAAACAAATTTCAAATTATACAAATATTCCCCTTAATTTTGATAATTTACATAATATTCTCTTATATTTTCAAAACTTATACAATCCTCCACAGAAACAAAGATCAAATTAAACAATTTTTGTTAATTTCAACAACTTACATGAACCTCTCCTAGCAATTGAAATGAGACTTTGTTAATGGTCAATATCAATATTTTAATGATTAACATTAATTTTAACAGTAGGGATTGCTACAATTTGAAACTTTTGGAATAAGTTCGTACTTAAAAAAACTTTCAAGTCACTAGTGCTTTTGATGAAAGAAAACTTTATGAGCAAATTTGTACCTTAATGTAATTTTTTTTTCGGTTTCATCATACAGATATAGAAGTATTTTGAACAAAAGTTCACATAATTTTGGTAAACATCATAAAGTACATACAACTGATTCATAAAAATTAATTACCACAATTTGCCTGCCTTTGGGAAATGATGCTATGCCGTCAACCCCCCGCCCCCCAAAAAAACCTTTTACCTTATAAAAAGATGAACGCTTTACAACTTAGAAGGAAATTATAAAACAAATTAAGCATTAATATATTGCATTCTCCAAAATGGTACCAAAGATTCATTATATTTTCTGTTTTTTTTTTTTGACCCTTCAAGATTCATGATATCTTTCAGTCATCAATTAGAAAATTGCACATGCTTTGTGAACATGCAGTTCTGGGGAACGCGTGAATATAAAGTCATATATAAACCCTTATAGGTTAATGTATTTTATTATCTATCAACCAAAAAGAACTAGAGAGAGATTTGGAAAGGCAAATTGAAATTGCTTCAGAATGGCAACAAGATTTTCTCAAGCGTTTATGGGGATTCTTACATGCTTTCATCTAGTTGTTTCAACCTCAGGTAATTATTCTAGCTTAATCTCAATTTTCAAGTTATGAATGGTTTCTCGTGTTGTCGATCAAATGTGCATATGAATAATAGGTATAAGGGGGGAAAAAATATGCGGGTCCCTGTAATTTTATGATATTTTTAAGGGAAAATTTCACTGTAGGACAGTAGAAGACAATTAATCTCAAAGAGCCCCCAAAACTTTCTGAAATCTCACTGCAGGACCAAGGGGCCAATCTGATATTAATTCTACAAATGAAATGACGCCACTACCCTTAGCATCAGGTGAACCAGTCCACATGTGAACGGACTGATTCCACGTGTGAATATATGTATTTCTTCTGCAAATTGGCTAGTTCCCCTTGCAAATGCGATCTCCTGCACTTGTTCCCTCACGGACACATGCTTCAGGTGAACCAGTCCACATGTGAACGGACTGATTCCACGTGTGAATATATGTATTTATGTTGCAAATTGGCTAGCTCTCCTTGTAAATGCGCTCTCCTGCACTTATTCCCTCACGGACACATGCATCCGGTGAACCAGTCCACATGTGAACGGACTGATTCCACGTGTGAATATATGTATTTCTTCTGCAAATTGGCTAGTTCCCCTTGCAAATGTGCTCTCCCGCACTTGTTCCCTCATGGACGTATGCATCAGGTAAACCAGTCCACATGTGAACGTACTGATTCCACGTGTGAATATATGTATTTATTTTGCAAATTGGCTAGTTCCCCTTGCAAATGCGCTCTCCCGCACTTGTTCCCTCAAGGAAGTAAGTTTCTACTAGGGGCAGTGGCGTCATTTCGTTTGTGGAATTAATATCAGATTGGCCCCTTGGTCCTGCAGTGAGGTTTCAGAAAGTTTTGGGGGCTCTTTGAGATTAATTGTCTTCTGCAGTCCTACAGTGAAATTTTCCCTATTTTTAATTATATGTAGTTTTTTTTATTAAATCCCCATACTGTTTTTAATTATAGGTATTCGTAATTTGTTAATTTATAAGAAAAATAATGTTGGTAGCTGATGATACAACTGACTTTCACTTAACATACACTTGAGCTAATTGTGCCACGTGAATATAAATAGAATAAGAATTAACCAGACATTGTATTTTTTGACATTTTAAGGCGACATTGAGTCCACAAAAATTCTGAATACCTGCAACTCTTTCACAAATACTTTTGGATCAAAAATGAACCTGAACCCCTCTATATTTTATATCTCCATAAATAAGTGCGGTCTATTGTGTCGAACAATGCAGGGCAATTACCAAGTGATATTGTTCCTGATGAGTATTTGGAATGTAACGGATGGGATTGCTCTGAGCCTTTAAAATGTGATCAAACTAGCTCTACCAAGGGCTATCTAACTCAATTTCAATGTTGCTGCAGAAAGAATGCTGTGGGGCATTGAATTATATGACCTTCATTTAAACATTATATGATGAATAATATTAATAACGAGGATGTTGGTATGTTCATGTGTCTTTGTTCATCACCATTTGGAGAAGCTAAATAAATTTCAAGCGGGGAAAATTATGACAGACGTCGTTACAACCTATTAAATGAAGGGGGGAAATGAATTTTAATGGAAAGTTCATGTAAAAATGAGAGTAACATCCAGATAATGAATTAAGAGACCCTTCAATATTAAGCTCTCTTGCAAAGCAATTAATATGGCCTCGTCTGTCTCATGAAATTCACAACATTTCGTAAATTCATAACAAAAAGTAGAGGTATGAAATATTGAAGTTACTTTTGTTGATAGTTTCAAGTTAGCTGCCCAGGCAAATATGAGCTGCTAGCGTAGCAGTACCGGTTGAACCATCATGCAAACTCACTAATGGCTCAGTTTGGGTTCAACCAGGTTGGACCAAAGTCAAGGTTCTCGTGTACTGCATGCTTATTTAAATTAAGCTAGGAATAGCAACAAATTGTTGATTGAAATTATAAACAGTCTCATTCCATAAAGAGGAAAACCTTAATACTCCTGATTCGATAGAGATTAGTTTCAAATCTAAAGTGATTTGAAAATATTCTAACTTGTACCAAAGTCCAATTCATCTCAGTTGGCAGCTTGTGGGGGCCTTATCCGCAATCATGAAGGCACTTGGGTTGTGAGATTTTCTTATTAACTTGGCATCTATTCTCCCCATGAAGCCAAGGAATGGGAAATGTTAAAGGGTCTCAACCCTGCAATCCAAATGGGTTTCAACAATCCTATAGCGGAATCTGATAACCAGAATTTAATACACTCACTCACAGATTGGAATTCTCACTCTACAACTTGCTCGACAACTTTGCTAGAGGTGAAGAGGTTGCTTTCTCTGCTAACAGAAGCTCATCTCCAGTATGCTCTAAGAAAGTGTAATGTTATTGCAGATGCTCTAGCCAAGATGGGTTTCACTAGCACGGTCATCTATAACACGAATCCTCCTAACTTGAGAACTCTGGTGCAGAAAGATTTATTGAGATTGCAATCCCCTACTACTTAAATTTTCTCTTTTAGGCTTTTTGCCTTATTGTATACCCAAAAAAAAAAAAAAATTAAGCTAGGGATAAGTCTGCACAAGGTAGCCAGAAATTAGATCAGGAACCAAAACAATTTTTTGTAAACCAAACGATATTTTGACTTGATGGAAATGTACTTGAAACATAAAACAAAACGTATAAAAATAAAAAATTTGACCCTATCAAAGCTCAATATATTTTCAAACCATAATATATTATTTCATTGAAGACTTCTTATATTATAGTATTATTATGTTGACCATTAAACTTATTATGAATCTGTTTCTCATATATAGCAAAATTGAAGAACTCTTATGGTTCTGAATTGTATTTATTCGAATAAAGCAATAGGGTATAAATAGGTTACCGCAGCCTCATCTAAATGAGGGTAGAAGGCCAAAATCTTAGGGATAGGACTAATTAGGGTTAGGGTTTTGAGGCCCATGGCCCAATCTTTACTAACAAATCTACAACACAACAAACACAGTATGAATAAATGTAACCAAAGGATCAAGTATGATCATCATGAAGAAAGTAACCTTAATGCATGCAAGTTTACAGAACTTCTAACGGCCTCTCCCTTTCCAAAATAAGATCGGCTTAGAACATTACTCCAACATGTCTTTGCCATAGCTTCTCTAATGGAACTGCTCTCATGATTAGACTCTTCGATTCCTCTTTGTCTTGAGCTTAACTGCTTAAGTTGCTGGAGTGTAGAGCAATCACAAGCATCAATCTCCTTTCCAACTAAATCTTTAACAGTCACAAAACACTAGCCCTTTTCCATCACTGTCAACCAAATTTAAACCGTGTATAATTACTGAGATTCTGCATGGACTCCTGAAACTGATCAGGCAATAAAAAGCCAGGACAGATTAAATTCCTTCTCAAGAATTTGAAGTATCCCGAATAAAGAAAATCAAAGTACATGCAATACATCATGTTTACAAATTTGCATGAGATAGGGGTTGTTTTCAAATAAAAAATGGACATCTATCATTTCACAACAAAAATACAGGCACGAGAGAACTACATACAAACATTATGCACCTCCTCTCTACCAAAAGGTGGATGAGCAAAAGAATTGAAGTCAGAAATTTGCTCACGATCTAACTTAGCCAACCAATCAGCTTCTCCATTTTCCTCTCTATACAGAAAATTAACATGCAAATTCCTATACAAAGGTCTTCTAGAACAGTCAATAATATCTTGAAAGGGATGATGACCATGGTTGCCTCTTGTGATTGTTGATATTGTACTTGCACAATCACAAAAAACCTCCACAGATCAATAGCCTTTCAACCAGCATAACTCTAAAAGCCCATAGCAATTGCGTGAGATACAAGTTCCAACCAAGGTTATCCAAGGGTAACTGGTAGAAATGAAAACTTTCGGTATTAATATTCAATAATCCTCTATAGAAAAGGGAAACTAAAAGCAACAATGAACTGTAAACACACTGAAACAAGTTATGACCCACTTTTCCCCTCCTTCAATAAACCTTGCCACACAAAACAGTAGGCCCGCCCATCAGTAACTTTTAAGCCTAAAAGGCTAAAAAAGGACCAATAACACCAAATTATCCATGTGGTGCCAAAACATTACCTAGGGTACTGAATGGAAGAGCAAAAGAACACACAGACCATTATATACTACAGCAGTGAAGCATATTTTGGAAGTTTATAACTAGAAAACTTACATACGCAGCTAGAGCCAAAAGTGTGGACAGTTGCTATGACGTCAAAAGCCTCATTTTGACAATAGGATATTACTAACTTCAACATCAGCACTAACATAAATTAATGAACCATGGCAGTTACCTGTATTCGGCATCTCCAAACAAGAATCTGCCAGCTAAAGACTACTAGTCTGTCCTCCAGATGCCTACAGATAGATACATGAGGAACTCTTACATGCTGTAAATCAGCAGGTTAACCTGAGACTAATTAATACAGCACGCCAGTAGTACCATCATGAAATTATCATCTCATCCTCCTCTGCCAATTTGCATTATTGACGAAGGAAAGGCTGCATATGATGAGTCAAGCAAATTGTTAACTTTATGCTTAGTTGCTCATCGTTTTCTCCCTCTATTATGCCTCAAGAAATTCAACTTTTTCCAGGCAATCATCAAAAACTCATTCAATCGATTCGTGCCTCCAGACCAATCCAAAGGTACCAATCCTCTATCCTGTAAATCCTTTAAAAGCTTTTCCTTTTCAACGTTAAAATTTCCATCACAGGCAGAACAAATAAGAACCGTGTAAATTGATAAATTGGGCCACAGATGCCTTTGCTTCATTTCTTCATAAAGTTTGAAAGCAGCCATAACATCACCATTGGCACAAAAGCCAGAAATAAGAACATTGTACGCAGCTACATCAAGCTTCATACTACAGCACTCCATTATACTTCTCAGGTAAGAAACCTTCTCAAGGTTACCTTCTTTGCAACAAATGTGCATCAGAGTAGTGAAAGTAGCAACAGTGGGAATCATCTGACTTCGAAGCATGAAATCAAGAACTAGAATGGCATCTTCAATATTCCCAGAGGATGCAAGCCCCCTAACAATTGCACTCTCAGCAACATCATAAGAGCAGACACCAAGTGTTTTCATCTCATCCTTTAGCCTCATTGCTCCCTGTACATTTCCCACTCTACACATGCCATTTATTAAAGTGACATACTGTCTACATGTAGGAATACATCCAATTTCCAACAAGGAATGCAGAATACGATGGGCTCCCCTAAAAGCGGAAACTCTAACTAGTCCATTGAAAAGGGCATTGTATGTATCAACACTACACGTAACTCCTAGCCGTTCCATTAGATCTACCACATCAAATGCCAATTTTATCTCATCCTTTCCACATAACTTGGTAATAAGCATGTTAAAAGTATAAGTATGAGCTACTAAACCATCAATTGTCATGCTTTTCAAAAATTTTACAGCAACTTCCAATGCATCAGACAAACAAAGAATAAGAGAATGCCATGTTAACCTATCAGGTAGAAAACCTTGTCTGATCATGTCTTTATATACCCTAAAACAATTTGTCATGGCATGCGTCTTGGCATATCCATGCAGAAGAATGTTGTAAGTAGCCAAACTGAAAGATAAATTTCTGCTCCTCATGTCTGAAAGGATATTATTTGCCTCAACCATTTGTCCCATCTTTGAATAATGATCCAGAACCACATTGAATGCAATAGTGTCGAGCTTAACACCATTGTTCAGCATCTCTTCAAAAGTAAACAAAGCAACTCTAGAATGACCTGCCTTAAATAAACCACTAACTAACGCAGTGTATACAGCAGGATTTGGTGTTAGTAATCCTTTTTCCATTGCTTTCTCTGACAAAATGAGTGCAGCAGCTAATTTACCATTCCTGCATAGCCCAGCAATAAGACTAGTATATGTGTAACTGTCAGGAAGCAAATTATTCATCACCATCTCATTTAAGAGACCAATTGCATCCAACAAATTTCCTGATCTACACATCTCAGAAAGTAATGTATTGTAAGAAACAGTATCAATTGCAGAAGGTTGGCAGTGAAGTCTATGCAAGAGGCTTTTTGCCTCATTAATATGTCCACCGATGCAAAGTCCTTTCAATAGACTCCCAAATGTAAAATGGCTTGGAAAATGGCCAATAGTAATCATTTCATCTAACAAAGAAAAGGCTTTTAACGCATCACCCAAAACCGCATAACCATTTATGATACAATCAAGAGTAATGCAGTTGGGATCAAGACCCATCCTACTCATGTGATGCATGAAATACTCAGCCTCTCGAACTTTTCCACTTCTACAAAGACTGGCAACCAACACATTGCATGTAAAGTGATCTGCAACATGACCTTTGCGATTCATCACTGCATATGCATTTAAAGCCTCTCTTGTGTTCCCCGTTTTGCAATAGTTGTATATTAATGTTGAGTACAGAATGCAGTTTGGCACAATTCCTGCCTTATACATTTTACACATTATCTCCTTTGCATTATTTATCTTCCCCACCTTTAAAAACCCATTTATAAGCACTGAAAATGTGACAACATCAGGGTCTATAGAATCTTTCAACATATTATTTAGCACCAGCACAGCTTCATTTAGTAAACCATTTTTACACATACCATCAATAATTGCTGTATAACTTATACACTTAGGTCTCAATCCATTCAACCTCATTTTCTCCAGAATACTGGAAACTAGGCCAAATTCAGCATGCCTGGATAACCCTTTCAGAAGTGCCCCATAAGTCATTTCATTAGGTCGTAGGCCTTGTGATTCCATCAAATCCAAAAGTCTCAATGCTTCACCAATATTACCCTCCCTACAATGCCCATCAATTAAAATATTGTAAGTGATGGAGTTTGGTGATAAATTAAGTAATGACATCTCATCAAAAACACAAGTAGCAACTTGAATCTTCCCCTCCTTAACAAAGCCGTTAATCAGTGTATTATAAGTAATCGCATTAGGATATACATCATTCATTCTCATCCTTTTCAGTAATAGATAACCTTTTGCACTCCTTCCATCCCTACACAAACTATCAATGAAAACATTATATGTACAAACATCTGCTATGATGCCCCTTGAGGCCATGTGGTCAATCAGTTCAGACGCTGCTTTATACCTTCCTTTCTTGCAATACCAATTCAGCAGAGTATTATATGTAAATACAGTTGGAAAATAACCACTGTCTTCCATTTTCTTTAACAGATAACCAGCACTTTTAAACTTCCCTTCTTCACATAAAACATTTAACAATATGTTCAGTGTAGCAACATCGGGATGAAACCTACTGGCCAGCATTTCTTTGAAAAAAGACCAAAACAATTCAACTTTCTGGTCTTTTACCAATGACCCTAGCACCATGTTGCAAGTGGACATAGATGGCTTTAACCCACGTAGTCCCATCAATTTGAAAGTATATACAGCATCTCCAACCATCCCTTCCCGTAAACAAACCCTAATTAGGAGGTCAAAAACAGCTGGGCTTGAATTGCAAAAGGGGTATGTTTCCATCAGGCCATAAAATACAGAGTTAAAACCAATGGGCATGTGTAAAAGATGTTTTAAAGCAGACTTAGCAAAGCTGTACATTCGAGCTCTAACTAGTATGTGTGTTGTAGTGCACACTATATTGGTAACATGATTGAGCTCCAAACCAGGTTGCCTGATGACCCATTTAAGAAATTTCAGAGCTAACCTTCCATGAACAGGTCTGAGGGCAGTCAATCTGTATTTCATAAAATTCAGTGACTCCCAACGGTCGATAGTCAAAATTGTATATATACTCTTCTCCATATCTGAAACTGTTGAATCCAAAAGGTACAAGTTTGACTCTGAATCGAATGCAAAAAGTAAAACAATGAGGTTCAGAAAGCTTGATTTACAGGAATCATAATCGCAGGTGTGATTAATGAAAGAGATAAAGGGGCAAAGGAGCCTACCTTGATTCAAAAAGAATAATTACTTGCAGATACTTGTCCTCTCCACTGACAACAGATGAAGCTGCCATCAGTCTCAGTATTAGGATCACTGGTCATCTAGTAATCTGCTTTGAAGTCATTGATAGAAATTCTACAGAATCATCATCACATGATAATTAATTTATCAACTGATGCCACAGACAATTCAGATTCCATAATCTGGCTTCCTAAAAATATAAATACAAAGAGGCTATAAAGATTTTTCTCCCCTAAAAAATTATGCTACGCTGGACACTGTTTGTCTTCCTTATTGTTGAAAATTAAATCTTCAGTCTAATGAACACAAAAAGTCTAACATAGCTGTGAATTTGATGTCTGAACCTGATCAATCAACCTTCTCAAGACTCCTACTTTTATCTATGACATTCATCGTGTGTTTCAAACTCTTACTATTTTTCCAAGACTTGAAGTGGATCAAGGGGTTACCTGATTTACGATAGGAAGCTCTGCCAATGAATTTAAAGAGCTTTGTTTGCTGAGCAATCTCAACCACAGCAGAGCTATTTCTTCTCAGGAGAAGTTTAAGAGCCATGTTATCACACCCCCAAACCTGGAGGTAAACGAACACAATTTACAATGGAGTTCATATGTCTGTCAGCCTACAGAACCAAAGGTAATTAAACCATGACAAAGAAAACTCCCATATAAAATATAGGAGGCTTCCACCAGATATTGACCAAGCCTGCCCTGAGATACAGGCCTTTCCCGTTTAATACAGTGACCCACTATCCATACAGATTTTTACGAGCCATGCTCCCTACATGCACCACACACTTAAAATCATTAGAGCCATGCCATGGCAACATGACAAAGGGATAAAGAATTATCATCAACCTTAGTTGTAGCAAACGTTATTCCTTATTTGCATCAATTTCATTCTAGCTCACTATATCATCTACACAAAAAAGTACATTGCCTGCCCAAAAACCCTCATTCAATAAGAGAATGGAAATATGGTAACTCATTCAAGATCCAAGTCGGATTAATGTGTTTGACCTCTTGGATTCTTATTCATCACAATGCCTAAAACTACTTTCAATCTTACTCTATTTATAGTAAATTAAATATAATGATAGAGCATTTACATGATACTGAACAATATAACTTGTTACTAACGACACAGTAAAATCAAGTAACAAATTCTGGACTTGATTTTATCTTCACACTATAGTAGACGCGAAACTCATGAGTCATGAGGTGAAGATCAATGAAGAATAAGATATGATAGATACTCCATCTCACTGTCTAGGGGAGAAAGTTTTGGTAAGAGTATTAATTAACACTGATTGTGAGAGACCAAAACCTCAATAACTTTCTGCTTCAGAATTTAAAATTTTAAAAACCACAAGTAACCAACTTTAGTGACATTTAAATAACTTAATCATCAATATTAATAAATGTTGAGCTTTTGGGCTGAATTCCAAATTACTGAATCAAGGGTGGAAATATATGTAGCCCAACACTAATAAATTATCAAATAAAGACTAAAACCCCACCAACTAAGGTGCGACTTGAGCTCAAAAGTATAGGAAATAATAAAACATACTAAATTCATTAGGCGAATAATTTGGGATGATTATCAAGATTCACATTAAGTAAGGAACATAGAGCCAATTAAATTCAAACTCCACTACAAGAAACATTGAGTAAGCCACGGAATTACCAACTGGATTCAAAATTACCAATGGAATTTCTGACAACTATTCCATTGCTAATTTTTCTGTCACACATATTTTAGCGACAGAATTTTTAATTCCAATGCTAATTTACCCACGCATTTCTGTCAGAAATTATATCAGTAATTAGTGACGGATTTTGGACAGAAATTTTCCCTCACAAATTTCCAACGGAATTCCGTCGAAAGTTAGCCACGAATTACCACAGAATATTCCATGGCTAATTAGCCACGAAATTCCGTCGGAAATTGTTGATGGACATCTGATGGAATATTGCATTATCTAAACTTGTGCAAGCAGGAGGTGGCCTAGGGTGGAATAAATTGCCCTGATAAGGCAGTGAAGAAGATAAAAACGAAGGGAAAAAATAGATAGTTTGGTAGAATATGATAAAAGATTATATATTTTATGTAAACTTCTGCTCCCTATATAGTATCATAATTAATCAAGCTTTGGAAAAAAAAATTGAAAAGGAGGACGAAAGGAAAAAATTCGGGTTAAATCAAAAGGCGCAAGATTGCATGTCTGTATTCAAATTTCAAAATGCTGTCGCATTTAATAGAACTCAATACAAGTTGATGTATTATATAGGTTCAAAACTTGAAGATGGGGCCTCATTTGAAATTTCAAAACGTGGTAAAACAAAATAAGAAAGTTGACCCTTCAAAAGGAATAAAGAAACAATGTAACACAGCAATGTCTTTGCCTTTAATGCGAACAAGAGAATCCTGAGACTTTAGTTCGCTTTTCGTCAAATTCAGACAGAACTACCTGCAGTCTCCATCAATCAGTAGAGCAGAAGTATTATATAGTTCTAACTATAAAGAAGCATGTGAAATCCCGATCTAAACATCTACATGCCGCGGAAATATTGTATAGTTCTAATTGACAGGTATACCTTTAGGAGGCTCTGGATACCATGTGACTATTACGCGGGAAAATGATGAGATACGTTCTCATCAATGAAATCAATATATATACAGACACATACACTCAAAAAAAATATATATATAGACACACACTTATATACACACATACAAGAGTGTTTGGGAACTATGTACATCACAACTCTAACACTATATTTGGTACGGGTTTTTCAGAGAAGAGAGGACAGAAGCTGCTCCCCTTCTTTTGTTTGGCTAGTATAATTTTTTAGGAAGGGAGGAGAGTTGCTCCCCTTTCCTTGTTTGATTAAGATATTTTTTAAATAGAGAAAGAATTCTTCTCCCCTCCTCTTTTTTTCTAGCCTTCCCTTTAAAAGTAGGGTTTTTTTGGAAAGGAAATGAGAGATAAAATTTTAAATTTCAAGATTAACCTAACTAAAATACTTTAATTCCTCGTATATCTTTTTGATTTGTTAACCTCTAATCAGTCGTAAACATTTTTATATAAGACAGTTCTTTTAAACATCTAACAAAAGATTGTTGAGATAATTGTCTCCAAAATTAGTGAGCATTGTTAAACTTTTTTTTTTCTAATTTCAAAAAACCGTCGGTATTTTCTTTTATCTTCAAAAATTTTACTTTAATTGAAATTTATCACTCATAACTTTTTATTTTGATATCCTATATGTAACTGTCTTATAAATTAAAATTGGTGAATTACATTATATATACAATTATATCTGATAAAATAAAAAAGTAAAAAAATTCTTTTAAATTTTATGAAGTTAAAATAGTAAATTTTTTATTAGAACAAAATAAGTAAGGTATTATTAAAATTCCTCCTCCCCTTTTCTCAAATCAATCCAATCCAAAATATTATTAAAATCCCCCCTTCCTTTCCCCTCTCTCCCCTCCTCTCCCCTCCCAGCGTAACTGAATACATTGAGATGGTTATATGCTTGTCACTAATTGCAATTGCAAATTCATTCCAGAAAGTCAAAAACCAGGCACTCTTTCCCAAGCATTGAAAAAATTAAGGTCCACGAATTCCACTCCCTCAGTAGAGCAGAGAAACATGAAACTTACCTATTGACGACCCACGAGGGAGGACCCACGAGCTAGATGAGAACAGAGGAGGAGGGGAGATTAGATATGAGAAACTAGAACTTCATCGTCGAATTCGAGGGGAAGAGCTGGAGAGTAAAGTGGACGGCGCTGAGCTTCTGTAATTTGGGAGTGGGACTGTCGAGTGTCGATGGACATATCTGAAGGGGGGGAGGAGTGGACGCCGGCAATGCTCTGGCTAGTGAGGTGAGCTCAAAGCTGGAGTGGAGGCGGAGTGGACTCTCGTTGGCCGGCTGCTGCTAGGTTAGGCGCCGCAAGCGGATGAGGAAAGAGTTCTGAACAGAGACACGGAGCGTGAGCCCCTCGTTTTTATTAAGATCGGGATCGAAAAAATACGTTTACAATAAGTAATTATTATCCATACGAATTGTCAAATCCTATTTAAGAGGTATTTGGATAAATCATGATTTGAAAAATAATTTTGTGAAATAATAATTCTGAAAAGTAAAAGAGTTTGGATAGTTGTTATCGGAAACACTTTTATATATGCAAATTACTAAAAAAGACATAAATTAATATGATAATTATATAAGAGATAGATTTTATAATATATTTTAATTTGAAGGAATAAAATTATTAATAAAATAATTTTTACTAACATAATTAATAATATATAAGATAATATAATTAACAAATAATTAATATGTGTATATATTTATAAATTACTCCCTCCGTTCCTTATTATAAGAGACATTTGATGCTTATGGCATGTTCCTATATATAAGAGACACTTAAAAGTTGTCTCTACTTTTTTGTGTTGATTTCCTATTTTACTCATATTTATTATCTCCAACTCACACTCTCTCTCCTTCCCACTTCTCTTTCTTTTAATAATTTAACTATTCTCTCTCATGCTCTCTCTCCTTATTAATGAGAGCATTTTTGGAAAAAAAATTATACTTTTTACACATTAATTGTTCTTAACTAATTTTAACTATTTTTTATCAACGTACTTCGGTTATTTGTCTTTTATAATAAGGAACGGAGGGAGTATAAGATTAAATATGTTTATAGAAAAATAATTATTTTTTCCTAACAGAAAAATATTAATTTTCTTTAAATCTTTTCTGGTAGAAAAACTGAAAAAAGAATAAATAACAATGTACTACCTCTTTTTTGGTCCAAAAAACAACAACATACTACTTCTGAACAGTAAAGGACCGAAGACAATATACTACCTCTAAACAGTAAAGAACTAAAGGGGTATATATGTCTAGTCAAAATACTTCTTCCTAAAACCAACTGACACTCTCCTATTTTTTTTTAGAAGCAGATGCAAAATGCTTCTCACAAAACCATAGTTTTAGCGTCAAAATCATGGTTATTGATTTCTGATGGGTGTTTGGATACATTTTTTCCAAACCATAGTTTGGGATGATACCCAAACACCCTTTTGCTAAAAAGTCACCTATATTAGGTATCTTTTCAATATATATTTTCAAACACAATCCCAATTGTTACCCCTTAGTCTTTATGTTTCGTATCGTGTTTAATATACATTAACGTCCTCACTGTTTAACTTAGATAGCTCCATTTTATTTTAAAAGTTTATATAGATTTTTCTTAAAATCAAAATATATATTATACAAACTTCTCTTGTAATTTTGAGATTCACTTTCTATCAACCCCATCAATAAATAATGAGATTGACCCACTATTTTGACGAAAATGCCTTATCTTAACACAAATATTACTTAATAATTATCATTTAATCATATATCTTTATTTGAAATTAAAAAAACAATTTTAATACATATTTTAGTATTTTTATTATATTATTAAATCGATTACTATATTATAAATTTAATTAATTTTATATACACAAATTTTTATTTAATAATAGATATAAATTTTTAATCTCATAA